ACGCTCGTGGTGCATACAAGATTTTATTTCTCCCAAAAAAATCATCTTATTATAAGGAACAATCAATGTTCATTGCTCCTAGCATTTTCTTTCCATTTTTCTTCTCATGGTAGGCATGGCATTTGTTGATATTTTTACGTTTGTTAAATATTGCTGTCCTTATTTAATTTAGTGAATGTCATTGCTGCTTTCTTTGTGAAGTGCTACAGAAATAATGGAAACTAATACGAATCAGCAGGTCGCTTGGTTTTTTTACGAGAGGTTTTGACAATTTCACCACCCAACCACATCCATCCCCAAACGAAGAGTCAAGACAGTTTTCATATAAAATTTGACATTCATTGATTAAATGGAAAAAAAACGTGGATAAATGCTTAGCAAAGAAAACATAATGGCTTGCCAAATGAAACACAACGCAAAACAACACTTGAAAAAAACAGTACTTACATTACAACGTCTAGCATGGGGTTGACCAGGAGAATTGAAGTCGGGGAGACGACGAACATTTTCAATTGATAATTACTAGTGACTTGTATTGAATAATGATCCCTTATCGACTCGGGTACTATGTATATTTGGAATCGATGCTAGGTTCGCAATTTTCCGCAATGGGAATGGCCGTTACCCTTCGATATTGCTCACCTAGGTATCATCGCACGGTAAGCGTTTTTTTGCAAATTTTAAAGGAACTGACGTCTATGAACTCCGCTGACCTGATCGAAAATACAAGGTACTGGATGTTTTAATTTGGAAAAGTTAATTTATGATAAAAGATCTTGAAATGAATGAGAGTGTAAGTTTTGTTAATTCATATAGGCATTTGTACTTCTTGACAGTGTATAAAGCAGTATTATAAAGCAGTAATGAACAAGTTAAGAATAAATATTAACAGATCAATGTGTACAATCGCTTCAACATTTTTTTTATCGCTTGGAGCGCACGAATGGGAATCCCTATAATGTAACTATTCATCAATTGAATGCAGCTCAAGACTGATCAAGTATATATAAGCATTATTTGGAAGACTAAACCACTGCTGTCTCTTGTATCTTGTTGGAAGTCAATCAAAATGCCTATTTCATCTAAAAATGCCCACAACTGTCCGGAATCTAAGAAATTGCAGTTGAATAAATAAAAGAAACAGCCGTTGGCTTCTACGGATAATCTTGGCGGTAACGACCGTTATTCGGTTTCTCAAAGCGCGTGCCTTATTCTTAAGACGTCTAGGGAACGTCTTGAAGAGGGTCGGAATAAGAAAGGTATCTCACCGGAGGGGAGGGTAAATCAAAAGGCAGCTGTTGATATCTTTTGTGCGTGTTTAACGTCTTTCGCCTCAGAGTCGCCCTGAATGACTTACCTGGTGTTTTCAGTTTTCTTTTAGAGGCAGTAGCGTCGCTGAGGTAATTTTCGAGAAATAGCATGAAATAGTGATCGAATATCATGGCAAATATCTGAAAACGGCACAGTAGCACCATACTAATTCCTTTGTTCACAGCCTATTGAAATTTCAAGATTTTTTCTTCAATATCTGAAATTTTTCTCAAGTTCAACGATTGTTCCTTAAGAATTTGAAATTTTTTCTGAAAATTTTAAGATTCACCTCTAAAAAAGAAGTCCAAGATATGCCAATGAGTTGATCTGAAACAGAAGTGACGATCAAACAAGTCTTATGTAGCATGTGACTTTAACCGGAATTCGAATTTATGTATATAGCGGGGAGGTGAATAAATTCCCGACATACGTCAACGGTTTGATGTATTTACCCACCTTTTGGAAGCAATATAGACTATATCCATCCAGGGGTAGCTGAAACTACCCTCAACATGATTTTTTCAAAAGTGTTCCTATGGCTTGTGACCTCTCATTGGAAAGCTGATGGAAAGAGGAATCTAACGTACTAGTCCAATTTTAGTTTTTCATGCGTTTGAAGGTTGCATAAAATTGGAATCTAATTTTGAAATTTTTTTTCAACATATCAATTGCTCAAACTATGCGTTGAACAATTGATAGCAATTTTTTGCCACAACTGCTATATCTGCTATTGTATTCAACTGTTTTTATAGAGCCGCAAAAAGAAATAATTGCGTACCTATTCATGCCGTATTCACGGTTCGAAACGAAGTGTTATTACAAACTGGTGGAAATGCTCGATATCACTGTCACCAAGAGTCGAAATTTTGATGAAAATACGTTGAAAATATCTTGAAATCCGAAATCATATTTTGATTTGATGCGACCCCAAAACGTACTGCAAACTGAAATATGATCAGTACGCTGGATTCCTCTTTCAACCAGCTTTCTAATGAGGGGTCGTAAGCCATAAAGTTACATTTGAAAAAAACATGTTGCCAAATGTAGGTAAATACATTTTAACGTTAACGTGACTTCATCTGATTCGTCTTCACATGAGATCAGAAGATGACGAAATCATAGTACCACATACCTATTATAGACTATTATGTAGATTCAAAAGTGTTCCATTAATGGTGCTATTTTGGTATTGAGCCTACCACTCCAAACACATCGTTAACATTCATACTGAATCAGAGTTCAAGATATAAAACTGTATCATGCTCTTGAGATCAGTTGATTGCAAGTTTTTTGACGAAATGATGAGTAGCTAACGTTCTCCGATAGCATATTGTTCTATCCAGTTTACATAAGAATTCACAATGCTTTTTTTGAGAACAAGGAAATTCATACCACTTTTCAGAATTGATTTTATATCTACGCTGTAATGAAGCTCTTCCGAGGCATATAACTTCCTGGTGTAGAGCATAATCTCCGATTTCCCCTTCGCATTACTCCTTAGCATTCAACACAAAGTACTATATCAGCCTACAGGTGTTTTTTAACGTGATCTTAAAACGTAAATGACTTGATGCGGGTTTGAACTATTAAGAGGTCAAAGAAATAAAGCTATCGCATATCGTACACACTTTCCGAAAGTGTCATTGCTTATTTTGTAATTTCTTGCGCTAAATACCCAATCAGTGAATGCCTGGCGAGCAACAGTTGTTGACGACGTTAATATTTTAGCATGGCTAATACAACCGTATTAATTATGCATACCCAATTGGCCTATAATTGGTGTTTGAATTCAATGACATGATACTAGTGTGTTTAGGTAATATTAATACGATTCTATTGCAAACATATTGCAGGGCTACTAGCTGCAATTTGGTATCAACTGCAGACCGATTTCTGTAATTTGAGCCAAATTCGAAGTGCACAAATACAATAATATACCCAAAATTTCGTGTCAAGTGAATCGAGTAGTACATGGAACTATAGGACTTAAGACAATTCAAGACATCTTAAACACTTAACAAAACAATAGAAAACTCAACAGTAGATCATTTGATAATTTACGTGAAATAGTAACATAATATGGTGGTGGTAACCACAGAGCCTAAAACCATTCATATAGTATAAGATATAGAAAAAAACATCAAAATCATCAAATGAAGTTGATAATTTCCTAATTCTTTGGAGTTCAGTGGTTGACAAAATAATTATATGTATCTGAAATCGCTAGAATTATTGTGTAAAAATGATTGAAACGGCAATTTATTAAAGATGAGAATGTTTTATTGATTGATGAATTGATTGAATTGTTTAATAAGAAGAAGCTCCGCTTTTACCTGCCTCAATCTCAGGCTATGAAGTAGGCATTGTTAGGATGGTGGTATAGTATATGAAAAGGTTCGCCAGATGTTCACTAGAAGAACCGTTACAAAACTAGCCCGGCTATTACTTTCACTGCTAGTCGAGTTTATTCACCCCTCAGATTACAGGGGAAAAGGAAACATTTAGGTATTGCATTTTTTGTCACTCCGGATATGGGATCATTTAAAATAGTTTTCACAAGGATACTAAAAAAATTTACCTTTCCGCAATAATAAATCAGTTTGTTGATACAATGGGGAGGTCTGTCTAAGATGTCAACATAATTTATTTGAGAAGAATTCGTACTGTCTTTTCCTTGAACTTTTGCACTTTATGGTATAATAATATGCAGTAGTTATTAAATAGCAACAATTTTTTTGAGTCAATTTGTTGTAATATTCTAATATTCATGAGAATTATTCATCTGCATGATCAAGTAGGTAAGTAACTACGGAACTGTCAGAATAATTTGTTGTCTGTCTTAAATTTTCGTTATGATTTGAACAACATTCTGACCGATGGCAGTAAATGAGGACGGATAGTATCATTAGATGTTGCTGACAGTGATGCCTTTATTCAATGATATTTTATTCGTTCAGGATGGAACTATATTCGCAAAATGTCCTTGCATAAATAATAAAACTACTATATTCATAACCTGTCAGAATTAAGCCAACTACCCTCTACATTCCAGCTATGAGACATAGGTATTCTTCTGATCATGCAAAGTCAGCGCAGTTTTGGAAATGGCGGAATCATTTGAAAATTAATAGTTTGGAAGTTTATTGATAATGTAGTTTCATCTCTTTATTTAGTTGAAATGCTATTGCATAGGTTCCATCCATATTTTTTACCTTTCAGACAGACGAATTCGATATAAGTTTGATAAGGTTTAAACAGAAACAAAACAACTTCAACGATTTAACCTCTAAAAATTCCATTCGGAATGCACCATTTCACATTCTGAAGAAAACCAACGTAGTGCAAATGCAAAACTGGTGCAAAACTAGTGCACCACCAGGTTTATACGATTGGAATTCGCTATGTTATTTACCTAACCGTATATAACTGAAATGTTTCCAAATTTGACTGACATTATCATATGTCATTCACTTATTTTATTGATCAAACGGTCAATTTATTCGAAAAAATTATTGATATTTGGTCAATACAGCATATTAATAACAAAAATGCAAACCTTCACAGAAAAAATTGTAATAGGTGTTCACGAAAAAAATATGCTGACATTTTCACTTCATACATACATGATTCATAAAATTTTTTTCTGTCACTCTGGACTCAGGAGTAAAAATCATTGTTTTTTTTTTCAGAGAATTCTACTATATCCAAATGGAAAAGTATGCAAGGCAGGCGGTATCAGAAGGAGTCAAAAACGCCGATGATCTGCACGTTGGAGGAGATTCTGAACTATACAGGGTGCTTAACCTGCACTACAATAGAAACAATCACATCGAGGTATGGGGGCCACAGGTTCGTGAAACCGACCGAGACATCTACACAAAAACAAGATTTTTTTGTTTTTTTTTTTTTCTTATTTTCAATTAATTCTAACAAGGTCGATCCAATTTTCTTTCCAAAGGTGATCTCGAAATTTTCACGTAATCTTTATTTTAATTTTTTCAATATTTTCAATCACACACAGTCACAAATTCATGGTATATTATCCAGAAATAATTCAACTATTTTTATCGTAGTGTATCGTTTAAGTGTTTTTCAGAAACTCATCTATAATTATAACTAAATCTTTCTTTTTTGAATACTTTTGATGAGTGAATATTATAATTTTTGCTCAAACATTCACAGTGATGTAGGCGGATGAGAGTTTACTTCCACATATAACTAAATCTACTGGATGTGTTGAAGAGGAATATTTTCCGTTATATTGAGAACATGAAAAATAATTTATACATTCTCTATCTGATAAAAACTATCAATACTTCATCGGTATATTCAACAGACAACGAATTTTCTGATGGCTATATATGTCACGATTAACATTGAATCGCATCTATTGAACACACACACAATAAAGGATTTGAAAATAAGAATCTTCTGAAATTGAGAATAGACATTCTTCTTCAAATCATATTAATAATATGTATATTGTATATGCATTATATATGTGTATAATATAATATATTCAATATCGAAATAATGTATAAAATGTATAGGAGATGTATACTAACCTGAAGTCTAGTTATTTTATTTCTGGTGATTTTTTGTCAGAAATTTTTGTGAATTATAACAGAACACATCCAATTATATATAAGAAATCGAATAATTTGTCCAGTGTGCCTTTACTGAAGCTACTGTACATTTGTTACGATAGGTAATTGAACAAGATTCTGACGTATTTTTTCTAAAATATTGTGCAAAAAGGGATATAACCCTGGGAGACTTCAACGCCCTGTAGCTACTCAAAAATATCTCACTAGTATATCATATCTCATATCAACAATCAAAAATAGTTATTTATTACACAAGGGAAAATAGTAGTCGATTTTAGCTTCAGCACCATTTTTTTTGTGACAGGAAAAAGGACGAATTCATATTAAGAAAATATTGCATTATAACAAAATCAGAAAATTATCGACGTTAAATTTCAGGTTTTTAACAGAAATGACACTTGCGTTGGAGGCATCTTTATCATTATTTTGGGTTAATCAAATATCTGTCAGTCTAATTCTGTGATTCGATTTCAAAAAATTGCCAATTTAGTGGTCGTTTAGTAATTCGAATGAAAGATTAAAGGACTTGCAGTTCTTTCTCGGAGACGTCGTCTTATTTTTCGGTACTATAGCACAACAAAAGCCATCAACAGTGTATAATATATATATATGAGATGTATACCTTTTTTTCCTTTGGGAAAAAAGTAATTTATAAAATGTAACATTTTATGAAAATTATATATAAATACCTATACAAATATTTGAAAAATATATTTTTGAAACAGTCTAGAGAATTCATAACGAATCTCACAATATATTTTGCATTGAAGGACTAAAATCCGTATTCACGGGAGCAGAATAAGCATACCTCCTTCATGAAAATTTCACCGACTCTACATACATCGATAACTGTTAGTCCTTTCATTGGAAAATTGTTCGAATGTATTGTCGTTCCAGGTTCCTTCCAACTTCAGGTTCGTAGTAGAGCAGACTCTCCGGGAGTTCTTCAAGGCCATCCAAGAAGGCCGAGACGCCGAACAGTCCTGGAAGAAGTCCATCTACAAAATCATCTCGAGGCTGGACGACCCTGTTCCGGAGTACTTCAAGTCTCCGAACTTCCTGGAACAGTTAGAGTGACCGGTTGGAGCCAACCGGCCCAAGGTGGTACCCCCGGGAGGCCTATGGCTGCCGAGTGGTACCGCTGCCAGCAACAGGTGCTGAGCCGCCTCGACGTCATAGAATCGGTGACGTATGCCACGAACTGTCAACGATTTTTGTTGTTTTTAATGGTTTTGAAGACGCCGAAGTTCCGCAGAACCTTGCCATCTTTGAACGAATTTGGACATTTGTTGAGTAGTTGTGATAGGTTGGCAACAAGACTTAATGTTTACGCCTCAGGCTTTGCGTTCGTGGAAGAGCGAACAGTGAATACAAATCAATCAATTTTCCAGTGATTACCTGAATATTTACCGGATAGAAGTTGTTGACGTCAAGTCTTAAGTTTTACAAACCAGCAGTTAGCAAAGTTTAAAATCTGCACTATATTTCGTTTACTTGGCATGTTATTGTTTACTGCCACTGTAAACTGTGCTATGTCTATATTACCCACTTGTATATAAATCTAGATGTATATAGTATTTATCACTTATTATTTTTATTTATATCTATCATTACATTCCCAACCAAAGTTATATGTTTGCTAGTCAAGTGGGGTAGTCACCTCACTTTTATTTTTTATTTCAATTTTTGTTCATCTACAATGTACATCAAGATGTTATCGAAAACCCAAGAAAATGTGTCTTTTTGTACAATGTCGATATTCAGATATGACATGATTATATCTCATAAACGTATAAAATACCTCATGAGATACAATCAAATATTATAAAGTATATTTGGTAGATATGCCTATTATTCATTTATGAAATACTGGACTTTCCTTTGCGACACATTATCATTAGGTAAATAATAAATATGATATATTTGAATATTCAATGCAAAATATCATTCGGGGTTCTAATTCAATTCTCATCATGTATTGGATTAGAGTCCTAGCAAGTATAGAATCAGGTCATATTTGGAAAAAATTCGAATACAAGTATTACAAACAGACACTATATTGACAGTATCTTGAAGCATTTTTCATGATATTTGACATATCGGAAGGATTCAAAAAACTTGTTATAATTCCAAAATCCTCTTTTGTTTGTGCTGCTTGTATCAATGATATATAGTGAAATAAGAATTAACATATTGATTAACGATACTATCGAAAACATTATAGATACATATTGATACTTGATTATTATTATTTGAATTAGAGATTATTATAACAACTATAAAAGGATGTTCTGTGTGTATGTTGGAAAATCCAGTATTTCTTCAACCCTTTTACGATCAATATTTCTTACATTTTTCTTTCTGTTTGTTTAATTTTTTTTGATCTGTTGGACTAGTTGCACTTTTTTTATTTTGTAGCATATTTACCTGATATACTAGGCGATCGAGTTACTCCCATATTTCAACTTTACTAATTGTGTTCAGAAGGCTTAATTTTCAATTAGTAGTGATAAACAACATTCAGGTAATTTTTCGGCCTGAATATATATTGATTATTTTCAAGAATTTCGTTGCAATAAAATTATTGATTTTTACTGAGAGACAAAAAGAATCAGTTGTCATTAAATGAATCAATTATTTTCACTCGGGACCATAATTCTTCGAAGGAGAGCTTGCTCAAAAATATTGAAATATTGTCTTCCGCACTAATTGAATTGGGAATTGAATTGGCCTATTGAACATAATTCTAGAGTGATTTTGTCAGCGTAAACCTTCCGCCTATACCTAAAGTATTTTAAGTTACACATGCACAATACAAGTGTAGTTATACACGATCTCGTTGATACAGTGTGAGGCAACTAGTCATGTAATTGAATATATTCAGTTTTAAATATATTTTTTTTTATTTTCTTTTTCTTTCAGTCGTGGGCAGTTTACAGTGGAAGTAATCCTACAAGTTTCCAATCCGCGGCAATCAAGCCGGATTCAAAATGAAATACAAATTGTACATAAAATTTTTTAGCCCAGTATTCCTTCTGATCCCGCAATAGTACAGTCACAACAGCATGCTAAAGAGGCCCCGAGATAGTTATCCTAGTCTACAGCTAGACTATGAACTCGTGATTTTGCTGTTCCTAAAGTTATATATATTCGAAACTGCCGAAATTCGAAAGACTGCCATTCATTTAAGGTTGAGTTGATTATGATTTTCATTAAACGATTGAGTTGCTTTTCAAAATTAATGTTTTGGGTGTTTTTGAGAGACCTAAGTTGATCGTTCAGTTTTCTCGGGGCCTAGCCAGGTACATTACACTAAAACGTTTTTTGAAACTGAAGTATTGAGATAGTTATTTAATAGATAAAGTATTTAACGTTGTCGATTGTAAAGTACCCAAAATGTGGTCAGTTCTCAAACACTAAACGCTCGGTTCTTCAAATCAAATCTGTAATTAGATCAACTGAATTAGTGATAGCCTGGAGTATTCTCAAATTCTTACAAATATGAACCATTCAGGATACAATCATTCTAGATTTAAAAAATTCGAAATACTCACTATTTATAATTTGCAACAAGTACTTCTGATAATTTCATCATCACTGATTTAAATATGAGATGATTAATAGGGCAGGTAGAAAATCTCACATTCAACTCCATCAAAACTATACTTTATTCAACATTGGAATTGGAGCATGTTTCGAAGCTTCAAAGCTTCACCATCAGCAAACAATTTTTGTTACAGGAAGTACTATGATGAGAAAAATAAAAAGCTACGTCAGTCATCCATTCAGATAATGTAAGTCAAATAATCCTGACCTGTTCTAGGGAAGAATATTTCACATGATGAAAAACACTTGTGACATATTTCTCCCCAGAACAGGTGAGGATTATTCGTCTTTCATTATATCTGAATGCTTGTCTGACGTAGCTTTTTATCTTTCTTATTGTGCTATTTTTTGCTGATGATGAAGCTTTGAAGCTTCGGAACATGTCCCCATTCCAATGTTAAATAAGTTATAGTTTTGGTGGAGTTGACTGCAAGATTTTATTCCTGATCTATTCTCTTCACTCCACTGCAAGATGGATCAACTCAGATGGTGAGATAATTAAGTTTGGTAGGTAAATAAAATCGTAAATGGTGAAATCAATCAAACAAAAGCATTGATGGAAAAGAATCAGAAATTGTATAAGAAGTGTTGGAATGATGATGAAAAAAGCCGTATGACCTATTTAGGGTATCTCGAGAGTAGGAGGCAATATCCCATCAGCATAATGTAGGTCAGAAAATATGAAATAATCTGAATATTTCATGAAATGAATATATTGGTGCTATAATGATTTCTCCTATAGTAAACCTTCCTACTCAATTGCCATTATCATAATCAATAAAAATCAGTTTGAAAAATATATATTTTTCGGAAATGCTGTATCCTATCGAAATAAGTCATACAGAAGTTAATTTAGTTTCAAGTCGAACATATTAATTTTTCAAGCATAGAAATTTCATTATTATTTCAACTATTCTTGCACCTTTCATAATAAAAATATGTTCAGAACATTATAAATTCAATATCCTACATCTCCCAAACGCAGCCATTCAGAATCCATATTGATATGAAATTGTAGATTTATGTCTAAACCTTGATTAACTGGTGGAATACTGCCTTCTGGATTTGGAACGTCCTATAAGTTATGCTTTCATCCAATACAAGAAATTTGAATGTTAGTTAATTGACGGTACCACAAACATATCTTTCATTTTCAATATCACCTTCACATACAGTTAAAATACAATGAGAAAATCCAATAAAAAAATCGCTCCGTTGCACCGTATAAAATCATAATGAAATGTTTCAACTTCCGTCATAACCAGTTCAATGAAGCAGTTAAAATGAAATCAAAATTCCAGTTACTCAAACTGTGCATTCCATCTCATTAGTACCAACAAATGGAATGATATAAGTTGCGAACACTTTGGAAAAGATCGCTCCAGGTTGCCACTAAAGTATATATATGTAAATAAGCTTTTCTCCAATCAATAGATGTCGAACCGGTAGTAAAATGCACATATTCGGTGTTATTTTCGAAATAAATATAAGAAATAGTGAATCGGGTATAAACCTGAGTACAAAAGTTTGTGATCTGGCCGCATGTGACAAAAGGGATATTGAAGAGAATACCCAAGTGCTTTATTTTTGAGTGTTGTTTAGAAGCAAATCCTGCAGATTTTCACTTGGCTATGGACTGGCTGTAATGATAAGTAAGAAGCAATGGAGATGTAAACGAGAATAGTTGAGCAATAAGCCAAGTGAAACAACATAACTATATTTTCACCATATAAACAAGGGTAAACATAAAAATGGTTTGAGTTCATTTCCTTGTAAATTTGATTCCTTAAATCATTCTAATGTGATTCAATTCGAGAAAAGCAACTGAACATTCTTACCAATTGTATGAGTGTTTTGCCTACTCGGTTTTTCAGTATGATTCGATATGAAGATTCCGTTTTTACTGCGACTATCATATTCATTTCATAGCTTTATATCTCAAGAAACAGATTCATCCAATAAATTAATCTTATGGTTAACTGGATCTTGAATAGAATGCAAATACCAAACTCGTGTCCTGAATAGAGTATATCATACCTTAAAAATGCCCTGACTTTTTTTCGAAGAAAATATTTTGTTCCAGGAACATTCAATATAATATGAAATATCTATTCCAAGATAATTGTATCATTCCTTGTATGTACAACACATCTTCACGCAGATTTCTTGCTCAATTATTCTTGTGGTATAGCCTGTAAGACGGTCATTATGGTTGTGTTTTGAAATTTGATTAGTGAGTTGACAATTCCACAATTCGACATATTTTCCATAGAGAAGACGATGTTCAATAATTGCTCTAGGAGATGCAGCAGTTTCTTCATCCGAATGGAGGAGATGAATCGAATTGAGGCGTTGGATGACTCTTGCATGCTTCTTGTTTATGATTATGTCGGTCCGTTAACTTGACAGTTAAGACCTCAAAAAGTTACTGTTGGTTTTAACAATTCACCCAACTTTAACTTGCATCAGAATCACACTGACGATTACGACGTTTATATTCAATAGCGGGTTCATTCCCGCACCAATTCGCGCTTAGCCCGGCTAAGGCCCGAATTGTTGAAGACAAAACCAACAGATGAATTCAGAAAAGACCGTATGGAGGTCACGGAGGAATTACATTGCTTTCTGGATGAGACTGTATAAGTAATTTTTGAGGTCGATCCAAACCCGAGTATCGGGTCGTAGGGTAGGTTCCCTTCTCTAGGTAGGACCCCAGCATAGTTCCTTTTAATTTTTGCGTCGCATAATATGGGCCAAGTGCTGCGGAAACTGAATTTTCGTTTTCAGAAGATTTCACGTTGGTTCAGTTCCTTAAATTAGTGAGACTAGAATCAAACTTTTAGATTAGTGTTGAAGAATTGATATATTTTATTGGTTCGGTATGTATACGCGGAAATTATGTCTAAATTGTTACATGATATGTCAAAATTTTTTAATAATATGCGGAAAGGAGCCTGGGTGAAGTTTGTTGAGAACGAAAACTCTTTTCGATAGCGAGTGGGTCCTACGTATGCTTTTTGCAACTTTTTGGCAAGTTTTGATACATTTGGTTCAACTGAAATACTCTGAGAAAGTTACATCACCAGATATCAGTCAACAACTACATATACGTAAGTTTCAACAGAATCTTTTGTGCTCATTTTCTAAAAAAACACGCATGGATGAAGAACTTTTTTATGAGACTATCCAACATTCATAATAATATTTTCCCAAATTGATACTATCGATTAGAATATGAAATACGTTAGTAGTTTTTGTTCTAGAATATAAAATATAAAGATATTCTCCTCTGAACCATTTTAAAACAGATTTACCACTAAAAAATGTAAATTATGATTGCTATTTAATCACCACAAATCATGGTATACAAGAAGAAAAAGCGAGTACTATTTATATATTTTCATCGATGTTTCACGACGATTGTCGATAGTTGTTACAGGGTGATCCAGAAAAACTGCCAATGATTTTGTTTTTAACACTTCTAAATTGATGATTTTTCAACAAAAAAAAACAATTGTTGACGTATCTTCAGATGATGATGGGTTTTCTTCATTGAATACACAAATAGATATACCTACAGTGTGATTTACCCCGATGGTTATGGAAAACTGATCACTGAATGAATTGAAATACACGAATTGGAAAGTGATACTCTCTTCAGGATAATTGAAGAGGTGGAATATTATTGGTTGCTCTGAATTTTTCGATGTTATTTTCTTGTCTATACAATGGAAACTATTAAGTTGCATTATTTCAATATACTCTAAGTGAGGTCAAATCAGATGATTCGCCCTGAAATAATACTTATCAAACTTGAAATTCCGCTATTGAAAACAAAAACAGGGAAATTCAATCGATTATCAGTGACACATCGTTTGAAATTTTTTTGAATAAGGATACTATATGAAAATGGTAAAGCAAGAGCATGTTATAAAAACTTCCTGATTTTGAATGTCAATACAGAGATAAGTGGCATTTTTTTATTTTTCAATGTTCTCAAATAGTGACATTTTTGGTGCAGTAATATTTTGGGGCAAATCATTGGGAAATTCCCAAAATAAATTCATCCTTGGGTTTTTCTATCACATATTGTGCCAAGAGACATGGATTCTCCTAACATATTCTAGAACAAACTCTGCCAGATTTTCATTCATTTAACCATATACTATATGTCATTACCATATCATGATATTCCTGTAAAGTCGAACTTATATGTTCAGAAAAGAAAATATGCGTTATTATCAGTAATAAGTTTCATTGGCATCTCTTAGGAGGTTCCAGTCCTCATATTTTGATTATTACAAACATTCTTTTTCACTTTTACAGTTCAAATCATGAAAATCATCCATATCTCAAAGTGGTCCAAAGTAATTTCAAAAGAAAAACACCAAATTTCTCAAAGTCGGTCGACCACACTTTATAAAAAATATATATTGAAATTTTCATGTAACCGGTTTCGGCGCAACGGCCATCATCAGACAAAAATGCTATGCTATGCTACTCAATAGCTTCATGCTTTGGTACTTTTTTGTCTGATGATGGCCGTTGCGGAAATTTGGTGTTTTTCTTTTGA